CATAACAAAAATAAAAACCGGAAAAAAGTCGACTTCTATTTATGGCCAAATACTACACAGGAGATTTATAACGAGTGGTTCCCTGCATTATTACAGCAAAGCGCGTGATTACAGTGCTAAGCCGCTGCAATGGAGCAGCTCCAATGCTATTAAATGAAAGATGATGTACCATAGAGCAAAATAAAATAAAATAAAAAGAACAGTGAAAGTAACAAAAATGCAATAAAAATATCGGTATCGGCAAGTACCAAAAATAAAAGTATCAGTATCGGGCGAGTACTGGAAAAAGTGGTATCGGTGCATCCCTAATGAAAATGGATGTTCTGATCTTATATTGTTGCCATTACTTTTATACATAAATGCTGTACATGTTACTAAAATGTCCTTCCATAAGCTATATATTATTTATGCAATATTCATATTTCTGGTAATCATTACATGGTAAAAGATTACCAAGAGACCAAACCAAGAAATAAATGTCTTTGATTTAATTTGAAATAAACATTTTCTCTTTCACTGGACAATTCATTTTTCTTTTCAGTATCATTTAAAGCGCAAATTATAAAATAAAATGTCATTTTACTGTATCCTGCATTATCCTGCTTGCCTCTATTTAACCATTTTTGGATCAAAGTTTGGTGATTGTATAAACTCTTTTAATTTGTAGAGTTAAGAGTTTCTAAGTCTGCAAGTAAAATACTACTGACTATCTTATTATAACCTGTTAGTACCTTGACTTGATAAAAAATACTGTTCAAACACAGACTCAAAAATTCTCAAATCATTTTTCTGTTTAATGTTCGATGTCTGCATTTTTCCTCTGGTATTTCAAAGACCAGTCTCAGGAGCACACCAGTTTTTTCTTTAAAGCTCAAGAAATACTATACTAATTGGCTGAATGGACATCAGCCCACATTACTGGTGCACAGGACTGCCCAGCTGCCACTGCTGGCAACTCTCAGCCACACTGGATGTTGATGTTATACAAAAAGCTTAGAATAGTAATTGTTTTCAAATGATGATGTGACCTGACATTGGTTTTTATTTGCTCTATGAAGACGTTTCATATAGGGAGGCAAAACCAATGCTTTAAAATGTAAGGGATATTGTTATTGTGACTTTATTGATCAGTTAAATATACTGGGGAAAAAAATACTCATCACATTTATGAATTACAGCATAATCATATTGTGGTTCAACAGAAAAAATCTAAACAAATAAAACAAGAGAGACTGGGGAAAGCTGTCTCAAGGGCAAACAGTTTTTTCTGGCCCTTACTGGTGGAATTTAGGATATGATTCTATAAATGAATTACTTATAAAAATAAACCTTCGTTGAGAAATATCAATAAGGGATAGAAAAACCCCACACGTGCCAGCTGTAAAAATTTCCTGTCAACTTAATGGACGCTCTGATGAGCTGCCGCCATCTTGTGGCTTGAAAAGGAAATTGCCACATTTAATAAATAGTCAGCAAAATATATTTAAGATACAGCGGCCAAATGTATTTTTTATCTAATAGGGTAAGATGTACATAATGTTCATAATGATGATGCATCAGCCAATCTGTTAATAAATGGTAATAAATAGAAACATTTGTTATTTTAGTTGGCATAGTAGGCTACAAAATGTAAAATTATTTAAAAATAAAGATACCCCAATAGTCTAATTATTTTCTTTAATATCTCTCTTCAAAATAAAAAATATTTTTTACTCCACTATTTATAAAAAAAACATCAGTGTCCACGAATCCATCATTAATACATATGCACAAAAACCTTTGGTATTCAACAATGTCACATAACACTGTTTTCCAGAGACACAAAATTTATTGGACCTTCAAACTGTTTTGAGATTAAATGACACAATTAATGTCCCAAATCATGTCCTTTCTGGCCTTGTTTTATAAAGGCTCCTTTGAGAGTGTCTGCCATGAAAGTGCTTTGCAGAACATACATTTTAACATTCCACATTTAGTCACTGGTGACACATTTAAAATGATTCTTGAGATAATAAAGATCATATTCATTCATAGAGGTCTCCTGAGTGGCAGCATAACGGAATTTGGAATAGGCCTTGTCATTCTCAGACTGTCCCCATGGCAACATCGCCTTGATCTTCGATGCATGACTGATAATAATATCATCACAGGAGCCCACATGGAGGGAGCCGAGCCCATCAATAAAAAATGCTAAAGAAGAACCAAAAACATCACAGTAACGCACACACCTGTCAAATGCATAATCTATTTTGGATTAGGCCTCTTACCTAAATGGCCAACCCGAGCCAGACGGGGGTCAAAGCCCACCTGTCGTATCTTTTCTGTGCAAGCCATGAAGAAATTAATGACGGCGTCTGCAACCACACAATTGGGAAATCCCTCGATAACGTGGTGGAATCCCGTCCTTATGTGTAAGCAATCCCCCTCTTCATCACCTGCGTCTGTGGAGATGATGTGTCGATAGGTGGCAGTGTATCCTGTCACTTCTCTCACAGCTCCCCCCACCTCACAGTGCAAACACAAACCCAGGAAGCAGTTTGTCAACACATGTACATGCTTTTTAATCGATTTTAAACATTTATATTACATTACATTTTTATTAAATTTCTAACATATAAGCAATTTTACATTTAATCTGAATATTTATTAAACTTCGTACAATTACACTTAGACAGGGCTGCCAACTTCGTACAATTACACTTAGACAGGGCTGCCAACAATATATCTGGACCATAGACTGTAAAAAAAAGATTGACACTTGTCCCATTCGTTTACATGGAGAGGGCGGGGTTTATGACCTTGTACTGCAGCCAGCCACCAGGGGGCGATCAAAGAGCCCGCAGCTTCACTTTTCAGGACGTGTGAGGCATAACCGATCTGGACATGCCTAATAGTTAAGGTCATTATACTGTGTTATCATAAAAATGATGTAGACTACTGTAAAATAACTCTTGCAGTGCTGCAAAATAATAGCAAGGCACAGTGAAAGAATTGCAAGATTTAGCTACTAGTCATACTTTTATAAATAATGCAACCGCATTTAAATTATATTTTTACACGAAAATTCAAATATTTTTCTATTAATCTATTAGTCTGCATTGCTTGAACATCTATTCTGAGACATTATATTTTTCTGCCATTCGAAAATGAATCCCGCATTTATGCATTTATATGACCATTAGCAGCACGAAAAACAAAACTTTTATTAAAATTCTAGAAAGTGCACAAACAGCCCTTGCTTTATAATCAATGCTTTATGTCCTTTATAATCAATGAACCTCTTATTTACATCGTGTTACAGTGAGACGATTTGCGATCGTGCAGGAAAAAAAATCCCTCCTTTAGAGGTGAGTGAAAGGCCAAATACAGGTGTTCAAGAAATCAACAGATATGTCTGTGATTGGCTACATTGCTCAGCGCTACGAAAACACGTTGAAAATATAATCTTTTGACGCTTTCCAGAGCGCCAAAAACAAATGCGTACAGGAGCCTTTAAATCTGTTTTGCCAATATACTATTACAGTTTTAACTGAGGGTGCTCTTGACTGCGTGAGAAAATGGATGTGTGGCGTGGCGTGAGAGCGCGAGAAAAGTGCCAATTGCCCGAGTCTCACCCTGAATGCGAGCAGTGTTGCCAACTTTTAGCGACTTTGTCGCTATTTTTAGCGAGTTTTCAGACCCGTCTAGCGACACATATGCGTTATTTGTTTGGGCGAGTGAAGTGGATGCTTGATCTCTTGATATCCTTCTTGGGGATGAAGTTCCCATCTGAACTTGTTCTTGAGGCAGTCACATAACTCGTAGAGTCCATGACAATAATGTAGAGATGCGTGAAGTAATGCTAACTCCGAATCAGGCAGCTTATGATCAATGTGGTGAATTCACGTGTTCAAGTTAACGAACTTGAATGAATCGGAGGTGGGACCATTAAATTTCCGATTCCTTATAATGATGGTGTTTTGCCTGCCGAATTTGCTATTTAATTAGCTATTGAGCAATGCGAAAACTGCTGATAAAACTGAGGGACCTT